GCTGTGGACTGGAGCAGCAAGCTGCAGACTGTGGTTGCACAGTCGACCACAGAAGCTGAGTACATTGCTGCCAATCAGGCTGGTTAGAATATTGCCTGGATGCACAACCTGCTCTCTGAGTTTGGTTACAACCTGTTGAGTTTGCCCTCTACACTCTATATGGATAATAACTCCGCTATTGCAGTAGCGAAAAATCCTGCGCACTTTGGATGAATCAAGCACATTCAGCTGCGGCTTTATTGGCTGCGCGATGTAATTGAGGAGGGACAGATTGCTCCAGAATATGTTCAGACTGACATGATGATTGCAGACCTGCTTACCAAGGCATTGCCATTGGTTAAAGTGGCTACACTGCGTCAGCCCATGGGCTTGGAGTAGACACAGTGGATTTAGGGGGAGGTTTGGATTCAGAGGCGTGCTGCATCAGGGGGGAGTGTTATTTCCTGTGTTGTATGTGATGCTACAGCTTCTCTGCCCTATTATCATTCTTCTCTCCCATATCTCTATATCCTGGAATATCCTCATCCTTTTTGCCATTTTCCTTCGCTTTCTATCCACATTAGACCACTACTTCATCTGCTCCAGTGTCAGGCTTGGATGTAATTAGATAGATGAGTAGATAAGCGCCTTGTGATGCACCCTTATGTCTCTGGAGGCTTGTGTTTGGGCCATCTTCAATTGCTCATCCACAACCTCCAGTTGTGGTCTCCAGCGCTGCTCTGGTCGAGTTTACCTCTCAGATTGAACACGAAGGGCTGGACAGGTCAGGAAATTGGTGTGATCTGGCTAGAGAAGAATTTCGAGCCTGAGACTGCAACGTGCAATTGTAGCGGTGCTTCCTGCCTTCTCATTCTAGACGGGCACAACTTCCACTGTACATATTGTTTCATCAAATATGCTGCCAATCATAGCATTCTCGTTGTATGCCTTTCCTCTCACACTATACATGCGCTGCAGCCCTGCAATGTCGAAGTATTTGGCCCTTTGGCATCTGCTTGGAAAGCAGAGGTTTCTCAGACATCGTGCGAGTATATTCCATTCACAAAAATAATCTCCTGGATTACTACCACTGAGCTCGGCAGTGCACGATGAAACGCGCCACAGTGATCTCTGCATTTGTGAAGACAGGGATTCACCCTTGGAATCCTGATGCTCTTGATCCTTCCTTTTTTGCACCATCACTCAATACTACCACTGAAGCTGCCCAGCCTATGCCTACGCAGTTACCTTCCATCTTAGTGCCAGTTGGCACTAAATCTACCCTTTCTGCCGCATCCCATAGTGCTTTGCCATCAGACACTTTCTATGCGACACCCTCTCCATCTGCAAATGCTGGCCAGACATCTGCTTCAGAGACATCACCATCAGCGCCACAAATCCTGTCCATTCCTCGCTATGAGATTTGCAATTTACCTCCCCTCCTACCTGCAGGTGCAACGCGTGAGGAGCTGTACAATCAAATTGGTTAACTCAATCAAATTATCATCGAACTCAAAACTGAGCTTGAGTGGTTGCATGCACAGGCTTCACTTATGGACCATGAAAATGGATGCCTCCGGAACATTGTGTTTTGCAAGACAAAGATCAAGGCACCCGGTCTCATTGACACCACTCATGCTCGCCACATAACCTCTAAAGAGAGCCAGATCAATCTCGCCAAACAAGAATGGAAGCAGAACATGTGCGCCATATTCACTGAAGCAGCTCAGCAGTTTTAAGCACAGCGTGAGACCATAGCAGAATATATGCAGACCTTGCTTGATGAGAAGCGTGCATTGAAGCAAGCTGCAAAGAAGGAAGAACAGACACGCCATCGAGCTATAAAGATGGCTGCCACTCGGGCGCGCAAGGCTGAAGAACAGGAGGAACAACAAAGGAAAGCTGAAGAGAAGCACCAGCAGAAGGCTGCAGAGAAGCAAGCATTGGTGCAAATGGCTAAGGTGGGTGTGAAGAGCTGCAAAGGGAGAATGAAGGAAAGAAAGCAGATCTCGGAGGTGCTGGTGAGATCACTGCCTCTTTGGCCATTGAGCTTGATGTTGCACCAATGGCTGAGCTTGTGGTTTCACCAAAGGCTGCTACATGAGAGAGCCTTCACTATACAACTTGGAAGTGATTGTATATATTCTATTTGTAGTTTGTACAGCTTGTTCTGTGCCCCCAGAATACACTCTCTCTCGGCCATAGGCAAGTGTCTACTTAAGCGCTTAGATGTGCCTGGCTGGCCAAAATCTATGCCAAGCCCCATTTTGGCAGTCTTCTCACAAAAATATTCCTAGCATCTGTAATACTGGTATTAAATTTTTTTGCATTGTAGAGCACTAGTATACATTCATTCCAGTAGATCTAAGATAAAAAATTGAGGATATCTCGTTAGGTTTACGAGCACAAAGTGAAATACCATCAACCGGCCAACTTCAGAGCATGTGACAGTAGAGCTAAGCTACATGAGATAGACCCTGTAGAGTTTCCACTACATACCAATGAGGGTACTGAGATTCATAAGCTGTGTAGCTATATGCTTGGACTATTAGAGGACTTCTGGCACAAGGAATATATGTGTACATCATGTGGAACCAGGCAAACAATTGGTAGAAGCAAGAACATGACCTATTCTGACTTGCTCCTTGTATGCTCCCCATACAGATGGCAGAGACAAGGTATCATGAGTGGTACTGCCCATGAGAGAACTCCACTAGAGTGGTTACATGCCAACACAAGACAAATAGCTAATACAACATGCAATAGCTGTGGTACCAAGCTAGTGAAGGAAGTAATCATAGATAATATGCCTCAATTCCTCAAGTTCAAAGTTGATGAAGTTATTGTCAGGTGGACTCTTATACTGAACTTGGACAAGTGCAAGTACAGACTATGTGAATTTATTTATTATGGCAATGAGCACTTTACAGCAAGAATAGTTAGTGCTGACCAGGAAGAATGGTATAATGATGGATTGAAGCATGGTAGCTTGTATCACTTGGAATCCCAGCTTTGTAGCATGACATCAGCCCAACTTGCCAATAGTACAGATGGGCATAAGCTGGCTTTTGGATTTTATAGTCAGATGTTGTAAATAAAGAGTATAATAGCTTGTAACTTATTATTATTTATGTGATAGGCACATTATTTATAAGATTCACATAATAAAATGATAAGGGATTGCTGTCAATATATTTTGCAAAGTTGTAAAGTGATACTGTATATAGCTCTAAGTTTTGTATAAATAGTAAACTATTATAATATCTAAGTTATTATTATTTATACTACAGCATTAAAAAAATGAAAAAATTGTACCTGCCAAGCATATATGCTATAGCCCACATAACCCTGGTTTAAACATGAAGATGAAATGAATTGAAGTGGCCAGCAGAAGATTTAAGTAGTGTATAAGTGAAGGTCTAGTGCATTCAAAGCTAGCTTAAACTTGTAATCATAAGCAAGTTGGAAGCAAATCTGAAAGGTTAAAAACCTTGGAACTATGACCTTAAAAGAATTTGATCTTGAAAAGAGTGATTGGAGATCTATAGAGTAAGCTATATTCTGATACAGAGAAGAAGAATGCTTTCAGATAAAGCTTGAAACTAAATGGAGTTTGTAGGGTAAATGTTTTGGCTCATTCTTAGAGAAAAAGAAAGGCATTAAGAATTAAGAAGTGCCATCAGCTCAAGGAAATTTCCTGATGCTTATGCCATTTAACTTCACAATTTCTTAGTATAGAGCAAACTGTGTGTATTATGTGTTCTGGTCAGACAACTCAGTAAGCTATGGTGTTTTTGTGTGATTAAGCAGCTAACTGTACATGAAACAGATGCAGCATAGCATATAAACTAGCTCATTCAATATTCAATCTTCACCTGTACTCAAGAAGGTCATCATCACAAGCTTTCACCAGGCAGTGCAGCATTAAGCAAATATGAACTGACCTTACAAGCATAGGCTGATAGATTAAAAGGCTTGTGATTAATACAATAGATGTTTACAGTCATAAACTATGTATCTTACATCTTTGTATGGCAAGATCATTCATGTCTAAATCAATATGCACTCACTGGCATTTAGTGGTGTTACTTCATTAAAGTTCAGTATGTTTCAGGTTCTACAAAAGTAAGTGCCTTTATTTGTACCTTTGAGTGTTTTCTGGTGAGGTTCAAGCTTAGCTTGAGATTCTGAACCAGGCTTTTAAGGCCTGTGAACTTTGAGCTCTGTTCTGCATATTATTATACTAAATATAAAGTTAGCTTTTGTTATTGTAACATATTACTATTATATAAACACTGCCATTGCTGTTATGAGCAAAGAATTCATACTAAAGCAGTGCAAATAATAGAAAAAAGTTTTGTAATATGGCAAAGAATGAAGAAATTGTGCCCACTGAGCATCTGCA